ACAGCCCAGAGTCAGGACTTTGAGATGATTCTCAAAGGAACGTCGGCATGGATGGTGGGCTTCCTCCTCCAGCTCCCCCTCTCGAAAGATCTGATGTGGTGATGCGGGGTTACTTACTGTCTGGGAAAGCTCGCCGGCTTTCACCAGGAGTAATTACACAGATTCTGCAGTCCAATGTCAGTTACAACACTTGTGCCGAGTCAGTCAGAGCACTTCCTGCGAGCTAATGAAACCCCACATTGTCCACCACATGTGCCCACAGCACAAGAGGTGGAAGGAATTAGCCCCTCACAGCTGTTCCCGGGAACGCATGCCTCCACATACCCACAGGCAGGAAAAGAGCCCAAGCACCGATCTCTCGGTTATCCTGGCAACACAGACATCCCAGCAGGAACTGGTCTGCTCTCAACTCAAGGAGGGTTCTAGATTCAAACACAAATCTAACCCTGAAGATAAACGAGTCAAAGGGACAGCAGGCATAAATGACGCTAACGTCAAGAGGAAATCCTGTCTGTCGGCCTCCTAGAGAAGCCTGGCTGTCCTTATGAAACAAAGGCTCCCCTGTGACATCAAACAGCAGGCTTAAGAACTCTCTGGCTTCTGGCTCTGGCCACTTTTCAAAACCACAAGTATATCCAAGGTTGGCCAAGACAATGGGAAAGCTAAGAGATATGGTCTCTGAAAGAGAAGACCAACTCCCTTCTCCAGGATGGCCCTCTGACTCTTGACAACTTTGGCTCTCTATTCTCCCCAGAGTCCACGTCTGGGGTGTTAGGTTACATGGGAAACTGCCGTCTTCCATTCAAGCATTCAGTTTAGGGGTGCCAACAGCTGTGACCATTGTTCTTGGAGGCCATAAAGCCAGTGTCTGGGGAATGGCCAACAAGTACCAACCCTTTCCACCAAATTCAGTTATCCACTAGGGTCTAGGCTTAGGTGCCTCAAGAGTTCCCAAGGCATTTCCCCACTGATGATGATGGTGGTGTCAAGGAGGAGAAGGAGGACGGAAAGGAGGAAGAGAGTAAAAAAGAAGAGCAAGATGAGGGGGAAGGGCAGGAGGAGTTCTGCCATGCCTTATACAGGGTTTGATGTCCCATAAGAATACGGATAGACCCTTTAAGCTGATTGGTTTGGGCTTTGGTTTTGAGACAGGTTTTTTTTTTTTTTTTTTCTATGCATCCCTGGCTGTCTTGGAACTGACTCTGTAGACCAGGCTGGCTTCAAACCCAGAGATCCACCTGCATCTCCTTCTCGAGTGCTGGGATTAAAGGTGTTTGCCACCACCACCACCACCACCACCACCACCACCCGGCCCTTTAAGATATTTTAAAGCTATAACATGTAAGAACATTAATAGTGCCCTTTTATATTATACAGCTTTCTTTGTCCACGGCTTATTTATAGAAGGGAGGATATGACATATGTGGAGACGTCAGCTTAAGAACTAAACATTTGGGTCACAGGGGAGATTGTCTGCTTTGTTCAAGGTCTCCCACAGGATGGACGTACAATTCATTTTCAGTTACAATAACGGTTACAGTTTAATGATTAATAAGCTGAGCATGTCTGCTGTACAAACAGCAAATCTGCCACAAGTAGTCCCCTTATCTCCCAACGGTGTTTGGAGGTGAGATAGTACTGGACCCTGCTGGTGCTGGGTTTCGGCCTGGACACACAGCTGTGATAAAGTATAGCTCAGGCACAGGAGGAGGATGACAGCAAAAAGGAACTATAACGTACTGGACAGCTTGGCGACTCCAACATACTTTTTTTAGTAAAAACTTTCAATTCTCAATTAAAAAAAAAACTCATTAGAGCTGCCCTTTGGCATGTCTGAATTGCCAACATCACTTATTCTTGTGATTTGGGGCCATGATGAAGCCAAGCATGGCCACCTGAATATGAACAATGCCATACCGTAAGTCAACATGGCTTCGCACTGACTGACGGGAGGCCTCCTTTATAGTGTGCGGACACCGCACCAGAGTGAGATTCTTGTCCCACGTGGAACAGGACAGAATATAGATTTCTTCATGCTCCTTAGTGTGGCCCACACTGAAATTTAGTGAATTAACTCTAGAATTTCCCATTTAATATTTTAGCTAAAGCTGAGGGTGGGTAACTGGAACCCCGAGACGTGCAGATAGAGACTTACAATGCAAGGAAGCTCTGGTCTGGATTGCTGCCTTCTGTGTGCTGGTGGGGTACCATAAAGGGGAAGCCTAGGGTGTCCAGGAGGACCTGCCATCGCCATGTCAACGCCAGATGTGACGAGATGGGAAAGGGCCCATACTCTGCGTCTGGCCGGGTCACTGTAAGCGGACATTAACTGTGGATATGGCCGGTGTTTGGCTGGCCTCCCTTCAGCTCTAAGCCAGACCAGATGTAAATGTCATATCGTCCACTGTGGCACGTCGGGTAAAACCTCCCTCTCCAGAACTTCGGGTTCACGTTCATGCTCCTCACCTCTAACCACCCTTGTATGGAATCTTTCCTCATATCATGGTTTATTTCAAGGAATAGAGGTAACTCATAATCTGACTGGAATACTTTTAAAAGAAAAAAATCATGTATTCAGAACTCTTAAAAATCAAAGGGAGATATTAAAATAAAACATGTTGGAAAATGACCTTTGGTAATGAGTCTCAAGGGGTCAGACTTCATGAGCCTTTGACACACAACCCATGAGGTCTTCCTACTCTCTGTGATTCATGTGGGATATACACTTGGTACTTCTTGTCTTTATGTTAAATAATATGACTTTTGGAGTGAGGAAAAGAAGGTACGAATGTAGATGAATGGGGCTGTGAACGACACACAAACCCTACATTGGCAAGACCTGCTCATTCTTCTGCAGCCGGGACTTCAAACTCGGGACTTGCGTCCACCCTCTGATAAGTTCTTTTACGGAGCTCTGACCTCTGCCCTAGTCGGTTTTTAAATAAAAAAGCTTTGAACTCCAGGCAGGTTGGCAGTTTGGACCCTGGGTGTTTATGAAGGACTTCCTGGAGACAGGAGGCAACACACTCGCCTACCCTCCTCCCCAGCAGCCCGGCTCTAGCCTTCCCCCCCTGTGAGCTGGTATCTGCTCAGAGAGGACCTCACTGGTTTAAGGTGTGGCTCTGTGAACTGTCTGTGTCTGGTACGTGGCAGATAGCTAGCTCAAGAAGAGATAAGGCAAAAAAAAAAAAAAAAAAAAAAAAAAAAAAAGCTTCAAATGCTTCCCAGTTAGCTAACCATAGCAGCCAGTTCTGCCTCTGCATCTTGCAGCCTGACATTGATTGGTGCTTGCTTCTGTCAGTTATCTTCTTCATCCTGCCTACTGGATGCCGGAGGGGCCATAGTAACAATAATGCCCTTGGGTGTTTGCTCATCTCAGCAGCGGGCTGCCTGCAGGCTCTCTGCTAGGAAACCACAGAGCTGGGTGTCCCACGGGTGGTCCATGGCTTATTACCACTGATCTGACATGAGAAACATTTCCAGGGCCTTCTGACACTGTCCACGGAGAATACCTGGCCTTCACCTATTTTCTTCTTATAAACATTATGAAATTAAAATTGATGCTTCAGTCTTCTCTGCCTGCTCCCCAGCCCCCCAGATCTCTACTGCTCACCTCTCAGCTTTACCCACTCCAGTTATAGGCCACACCAGATTTTTGCGAACACACCCAACTTGCTGTGAGCTCCAGCTCCTTGCCTTTGGAAGCAGCTCCTACACAGGTCAAGGTCACCTTTTTCATTAAGTAGTCATCTTAGATCTAAAATCATCTCCTTAATGACCTTTACAAAGCAATAACTACCTATGTCCACGGAGGCCAGAATGTCAACCTGTTTCTTCTACAGCATTTGGTATACTCTTGAGTTCTCTTATTTGATTGCTTGTATCTGATCGCAGTTCAGAGAAGGCGTGGCTTCAGATGCAAAAGGACAAAATCTGATTACAGCAATACTTTGGCTGAGAGACTACCTTCAACGCTGGACCAACCCTTTGAGTGCTCAATGGGACTGGGGAGAGTTTTCCCGTGGAAACCCTGGGGAGTATAAAATCAATATACTTCAAAGAACACAGGTATGCAATCTATAGATGGAACCAAAACACGCGTCCGGATCAGAGGCGCTCTTTTTGCTACAAGGTTGGACAAGAATGACTACGAGGGAAGACACCACCCTGTTCTTTACCTGATAACATCCCACGCTGCTGATCTACAGGAAAAGGAGCACACTTCCCAAACTGGCTCTAACCAGCAGGGGCCAATCCCAACCTAGGCACTAGGAACCCAGAGAAGCAGCATTCGCAGCTGTGAGGCTTACTTACCCAGAGCCCTGGCCTCAGCAGAAGAGAAATCAATCTTTTCCCCAACAATACCGTGAATCTGATCTGGCAATGCAGCCACACAGAATTTAATTTTGGTGGATTGGCGGCTAAAGGAAGTGTGGATCCTAGCTTACATATGCCTTGGCATTGCTACAGAATTAAATGGATGTAGTTTAATTCAATACTATGATTTTTTTAATGTGTTTTAAGAGTCTTAATGTATCAAGTTTGATTTTTAAAACTCAAATATTAGATGATATGAAGAAATGATTCCTTTAAAGTTGTTATATTTAAGTTGTGGTTACATACACTTTACACCAGAATCCTTATCCTTAACAGGCACATACAAAAATATATTTAGATAAAAGAAGTTTATTAGAAAATGAGATTTGCTTCAGTGATGGCAGAGGAGGGGAGACAGGGAGAAAGAAAGGCAAACAGGACTGGCTGTATCAGTTGGTAACAGCTAAGGGGCAGGGAGAGCTTTAGAGACATTAAATTGTTCACTTGAGTTAGGGATGCAGTTCAGTGGTAGAGCACTGGCCTCACATATACAAGGCCCTGGGTGCTCTAACACCGGAAGGAAGAAGGAAGCGAGAAAAAGGAGGAGAGATTCATACATTGCATAGATTTAACAGAAAGCCCTTTAGACAAATAATTTTCACTCATAAAATGACAGGAATTACCTGAAGGTGAAGGTGTCCCCTTTCCAGTCTTGCGGTGGGTTTTCCTGGATGATGTCCCGGGTCAGAGGTGAGCTCTGCCGTGGGGATTTGGAGTGGGGAAGGGTACCCATGTGACTGGCACTGTCAGAGGATCGTATGGGAGGAGGGCCTTTCTTCTTCCGCGGAAGAGTGCCATGTATAGACACGTCTTGATATGCATCTGTGCGAGGCTCCGCGAGAGGGGACTTGCTGCTCAGAAGGTCCATGGACGAGGCCAATGGGAACTGGTGATTCACAACCATGTTTCTCGGAAGGCTGGCAAATTTTCCCGCAGCCATGATTCTCTCGACGCTGAGGAGGGAGAAGAGAGGAGAGGATAAAGCTAAGACATCCACAAGAGTCAGCTTCAAGCTGATTGAAGAAACTAGAGAAAAATTAAGAAACATCAAAAGGTGAATAATGTCTGACGGTATTACTAGGGGAACATCATAAGCACAGATGTTTGTTCATCGTCTCACTCTTTCAGGATTCTATAGGGAAATTCAGCTGGATGGGCAACCAATCCAAATAGACAAAAACATCTCAGAGTTGTTAGAATCCTATGGACCATCTTTCTATTATTGAAGTGGGGGTTGCAATTAAGAAAAAAGATTGTTACGTAAGGACTGGTAGGTTCGGTAATAAATACCAGGAAAAGTATTACAAATTCTTAGACAATGGCTACCGTGATTTCCACCACCTTGCTAACGGTAAAACAGGCAGAGCTAAGTGAAATTCCTTAGCTGCTGGGATCTACAGTGCCGGACCCAAACTGTGCTACCCACAATGACAGGGCAGCTTTTCTGGCAAAGACTCGATGCTTATAAATAAATCAGTGTACTCCAGTTAACCAAGGCAGGGTCAGGGGTCAGGGGTGGCTCTTTCTTCCATACATCAGCTTGATCGGTTGTACCGGAAAGCCAGCAGGTGGTAACACCCTGTAGATTCTTTCCAAGAGGAGTCAGGAACCTGCCAGTCACTAGCAGGGTCAAGCCATGCCCACAGGTGCATGTAAAGTCAGGGAAGAAGAGAAAGGGAAGGCGGAGAGAAAAAAGAAAGGAGGAAGGAGGGCGCAGACAGAGAGGAAACTGACCAGCGAGACGACAGCACCAGCTCCAACAACCGCTCCCAGGTATGCCTAGCAGTTACCTGCCTTGAACGGTACTAGAGTGCCAAACTAAACTATGGTTTTGACCTAAGTCAAATTATACAAGACCCGTCAAGGCCAACATACAAATCAAACAGGAGCCCTACAAGAAACTGTAACCATTCCCTGGGTAAGCTATCTTCCATGCCTATGACATCATAGGGTCTGTGCATCACTGCGGAACAGCTGAACTCCACAGCCCATTCCCAAGCTTGCAGCACCATTGTCAGGGGGAAGAAGAGCCTTGAGTGAAAATTTCCCTATCGCATCCCTGCCGAGCTGGCTCTTACAGAACTGTTGGCTTCACCATCAACCGCTCCGTGAGCCCACGGAGGTGGCAGTGGGACAAAAGGAGTTTGCAGAGGAAACACACTTTGTATGTGAAGCCACACAAACCCACCGCTACACGCCACAGGGAAAAGTTCACAAGTGCTGGGGGCTGCGTAGAATATACTCAAGGATATAGCCCTAACCTTGTCCACTGCTCTTTGCCAGTCTTGATAAATTCAGAAGCTTGGCTGCTGCGTGTGAGACCACATAGAGAAGGCTTGGCTCACGGGGATGTAGAAAAACAGGGCGGGGAGTCCTGGCCAGTTCCTGGCACACTGCCAGCACTTACTCAATGTTAATCATTGTTATTAAAAAAAAAAGAAATCAAAATTCCCTAGCCCTCTACCTGACCGCTAGTGACGCAAACCAACCAGTAGTCCTCCACCCCACCCCCATTTTCAACCCTCACAGCTGTGAACTCCTCTGTTCACACTATCAGCCCCTTCTTCATTGACAGGCCTGCATCATCTTAAAGAAACTGGTGGGGTGGGATGGGGAGAGAGACACAGCACACACCCTTAGCACCACACAAAACATCTTCATGTGTAAGGCCGCACTGTTGATCACATCTATTTCCGTGAGCCAAGAAGAGCAAAAGTGATTTTAGCCCCGGTGACCTTGGCAGGTGGCTTCTCTGCATAGCCAAGTTGAGTTTGCAGTTTGAGATTGCACTAGAAGGCTCTATGATGCCCTTGAGTATATCCCCCATCTCAACTTATCCTCTGATAGCAAAGCCTGCTAATGTCTTCCTTTCCTATTTTTAATTCAACAAACATTTAAGTAGGACTCTATAAGAGGCAGAGAACCCCAACCTAGAACTCACAAATAGCGACCCTCATGCTGGAACAACAGTTAGCTTTGACAGAAGTACTCTATCAGAAAAAGTGAGAGGACACTGTAATGCCAGACCCATTCAGGTACGAATCATCCCCACACACTGCGTACCCTGCAGGCCTTGTGCCTGAGTGGAAAAGTTGAGAAACCCTTTCCTGAAAGACCTACAGCTAAGGGCAAGGCCATGGAGTCTTAAGGGCTCTGCCAAAGTGTCTGGCCTTGACTGGTGAGCGCCAGGGAAGGCCTGAACAGGAGGGATCCAGACTGCACCTCAGTAGATGACTCTGGTTGATTCTGGTAAGGGAAAAGGAAGCCAAGCTGTCACTCGGGCAGATGGCAGAGGACCAGGAAGAACAATGCAGGAGTCTGATCTCAGGAAGTGGCCAAGAGAAAGGACAGGACAGAGGGAAGAATTATTAGAAGCTCAAGGTCTCTAGTTGGAAGGAAGGAAGGCAAAGCCATGGCCATGGGGGGGGGGGTTGGCATGATACAACAGCATAAGTGGGTTCAGAAGGGACCCAGGCCAGAGGGCACCGATTGGAGTGGTGTGTGAGGCATTCAGAGTGGAAGGAGATTAGAGTTTGTACGCTAGACATGGAACCAGATGGAACCATCAACACAAAGGGACTAGGCCAGAGCACGTAATAGTGTCACCTACCTTACGACAAGGGATGCGAAAGTATCTCCAATACTACCCAGACTCATCAGCAAAACATGAATTGCATCCCTACTTCTCACCATGGCTGCAGCAAGCCTATCAGGACCAAGGCGGAGAACGAGTTCAAAGATGCAAACACCCAGGACTTAGTCTGGCTGCATGTTAAGAATCCTACAGGGAATATCCGCAGTGTGGCTCAACCACAGACCAGATTCTAAAATGAGAATCTCTGTGGGCAGGACACCAACATCAGCACTTTTTCTAAAGTTCCACAGCATTGCCCAATCTGAAGCCAGGATTGAGAAGCAAGGCATTGTGGGTCCTCCTTGGTAACAGTACCTTTCACTCTAACTGTCTCCTGGGTGACAGAATCGAATGGTGGAAGACCTCAAAAATGGCTGACACTGTGCTCCGTCTTTAAAACAAAACAAAACAATATAGAAATGACCCCTGACCTTGCCAGGTTAAAATTTATAGAGGAAGCTAACAACAGCAGCAAACATTGGTAGTTCAAGTTCATTTTCCAAGCTCAGAGGAATCACGTTCATTCATTTAAAATATTTTTTTGTGAGGGCTTACAGTGCACCAGGAATGAGCTATAATAAGGCTCTGCTCCCAAGACGCCTTAGTTGAGATGTGGGGAGTCCAACCAAACCACATAAACAAGAAAATAAACCAGGCAATACCCAAGGTGTAAGTACTCCAAAGAATTCAAAACAAAACAAAACGGAAGAAATGATAAAAGATGCTGGCTGGAGGGAAAGATAACTTTATGATACGATGGTCTGGCAGGGCCTTTCTGAAGAGCTAATGACAGGAGCTCTGAGACAAAAAGATAAGGGACCAGGCAAGAAAAGATCTGAAGGAAGTTCCAGGCAGGGGGCAGGATTCCAGTCCAACCAATGCAAAAGCCAAGGACTAAGCAGCTAGAGCAGATCCACAGAGTTCTAAACTCTGACTCCCATGTATTCTTCTTTACTTGCAGGTATTTCTATGTTGATGCCACTAGTCACTAAACACTCTTAAGTACCATTTGGCCTTTGAAAATCAAAATGGTACAATTCAGAATCTGGGTCTCAGAGCCAGAATTTACTACATCAAACCTCTATCCTGCCTCTGCCTTGGTAGCAATGAGGTCTGGGACACGTTACACCGCTAACAGTCAGTCGCCATTCCTTCAATGTGCCAACAATCCTGTCTTCATGGATTGTTGTGAAAGATTAAATGTGAACATGTAAAATGAAGTCCTTGGCGCACAGCAAACAAAAACACATCTCCTCTAAACAGGGCCGGGGCCGTGTCTGCACAGCTCAGTCACTGTGTCCCCACTGCAGCTGGGAAGGGTGAGGAGCGAGATGTCTCAGCCTAGAACAGACGTAAACACACCGAGTCGAGAGGACAGAGACCCAAAAGGGAATGGACACCAAGTGAACCATCTGCATGCTTTCAAACAAACACCAGCAAAGACTTTGACCATCCGCCTTCGACTGCCAGATCCTGAAACACCTACAAAGGTCAGATGCCCCATCTTGATAGGGAGAGTATGACATTGGGAATGCAGAGACCATGAGTGACCCTCACATCAAACAGCCTTGCTGCCTGCCTGCCTGCCTGCCTGCCTGACTCTGGCCAGCCACAGAGCTTTGAAAAGCTAATGAGCTTGGTCCCATTCACAGCAAAACCTGATGATCTTGCAAGCGGAGGCAAAGGCGCACAGCCCGCTTTTTTAGATTTTTCTCTGGTTCTGAAACGGGATATTTTCAGGTTGAACTCACACGCGGCAGTCTGAGGAAAGGGCCTCAAGGACTTTTATATTTCAAACTGGGAATGCCCCTGCCTCAGCTGCCCTTGGCCCTATCTTCTCGGCAAAGGCAGACAGCAAGGGCAGATGGAACTGGCTACCCCACAGATAAGATTGGCTTCTCCACTTAGAACTTTCACTTGGCTTTACGAATCGAGGGCAAGCTTATGAAGTCTAGCCAAATGACCGAAGTATGAATAATTCTTCCACGGATTGTATTTCAAGCAATACAGTGAAGGATTTACAGGGCAAGGTTCTTAAGATTAGCACCCATCTGACAAAGCAGTTCTTTCTATATCCATAGGAACTGAAGTCTTGGTTACTCATCTTGGAAATGTCAGGCTTTTTTTTTTGAGATTCTTTTGGCTTGTTTTTATTAATGAATTGTTTTATTTGACAACCTTCCACATTTGTTTAACATGTTTTGTCCTTCTCACTCGTCAGTCACTCTCAACTTCCTTGCTTGTATCTCTTTTCTTACCTACAAATTTCTTCCTAATGTCCTTGACATTCATTTCTGAAAACCAATTAATTTTACCTGGTCTAGCTTTGAGATTACGGATTTGAAGGTATCCATTTGAACCAAGGTTTGGTGGGCACAAATGAAGAAAATAACTCCTCTTCTCCTAGAATATACCAATACTAAGCATGAGCCGTCCTTCCTCCATGAATGATTGCGAACAGAACCAGTTTTGTACATGCCCAGTGCAGTTAATCAAAGTTTTTGTGGGTTCATGGTGGAAATGTCAGGCTTTTTAACAGCACTTGTGAGGGAGTCGGCGGCGTTGGGCACCGAGGGAGCATTTGGCATAGTAAACCGTTCTTTTATACTCAGGAGGCTTCCTGGCACCCTCGCGGGTGGGCTTCCCGGGGACTTAGAGGCCCCTTCCCATTCGGCCTTGCAGAGCCTCCTCCTGGTTCTCCTCTCCACCAGGGGGAACACAGAGTGAGATAATCAACTTCCAAACTGACCTTCCCTGGGCCCTGTACTTGCCTTGGAGAGGTCTGTGGAACCTTGGGAGATAAGACTCAAGGTTTAAAAGAATCTCTGAACTCGGGGCTCTACTTTTCCTGCCTAAACGCTGTAGGCAAAACCAGACTCGGGTTACTCCCCCTTTTCACCTTGTCTCAAGCGACTCCTAAACCTTAGTCCCACAGCACCGGCTGCCGCTGCCAGTTGCTCTCAATGAGTGTCTACACCTGATCAAACTTTTTTAAGTGGCAGCAGACTCGGCGGGCAAAGGAAGATGGGCTGCGACCCGTCCCTCCCTCCTTTGCCTTCCCCTCCCCGACTCAAGGGGAGCCACACAACCAACTATTCATTCTTTCTCAACAAAGGGAAGGCGAGGGGAGGGAGATGTTGTCAACGGTTACAGGGCAGACTCCTTCACTTTCTTAGCAAACTTCCCAAGAGATTAGTGGAGAAAGACTCCGGCTTCCAGCAGAGTCCTCTGGGCCACCTCACCTCCCCAACTTAGACCGGCCTCGGGCAGAACGGGACAGGACTGTGAAGGGGTCCGGAGGGGTCAGGAGGCCAGCGCCCGGGACGGTACATTCGGGAGCCAAAGTGTGGAGATGCTGGAAGCACATCACTGGCGCTCCACTCCCGGGAGCTCCGGGACCCGATGTCCCCGAGGGCACAAGTCTCACTCCTCCCCCCCCCCCACTTTGACCACCCCCACTCCCACACCAAGTCTATGGGAATTCAGGGGGAAAATAAGCGGGCTGCGCCCTTCCCCGAGTCTAACTTCGCTCTAAGAAACTTCCCAGTGCAGACTCGGGACGACCGAGGGAGCCCGGGATCCTGAGCACGACCGCACCGGGCACACTCACCTTCCCGCACAGCGCTCGGGGTCCCGGAGGGCGGCTCAGTGCCGCTCTGCCCGCACCGCCCCGCAGCTGCTCTGGGAGCGCGGGCGGCTCATGGTCCGCGGGTGTCCGCCGAGAGGCCGGCGCGACTGCCGGCTGCGCGGCGCGGTTCCAGCCCGGCTCCCACCCGGCTCGGCGGCGGCAAGCGCGGCTCTGAGCTCGCTCCGCGCTCTCTGGCCCTCAACTGGTGATTTGCGGCTTGGCGGCCCCACCCCGCCCAGCCGATTCGCCTGGCTGGGCCGAACCCCCGCGACATTTACATTCGGTGACCTCGTCTGGCTCTCCTCGGGGCCCCGGCTTTGAAAGTTTTGGCTCTCCGTTGTCTACCCCGAGAAGCAAGACCTTAAGTGTAGATCAAACTCTTCCTATGGAGAACCCCACTCAACCGGCAAGCCTCGCCTAATCCGCTCCTCCCCCTTGCCGGCGTTATTTAATTACCCAACAGACCTGGGGCTCGGCAGACACCTGGCTGACTTTCAATTTAAAGGGCTTTGATGGGACAAAGACGGAGGTAACCACAGTGAATAAGCCTGGAAACAGGCAAATCAGTTACTCCCACACGCGAGCATGGGAAGTTCAGTGGGTGGAGGTGCCCGCAGTACTATATGGCTTCGTGGGGCTACACATACTAACAGTTTTCAAACCTATTTATAAAGTCACTGAAACAGACAGACTAAAGGACCGATGGACCAGAATCCAGAAACACATCTGCACTATCTGGTGGCTTGACTTGCGTAAAAGTTATTGATATGGTACACCGGAGGACGGTACAGTCCATTAACCAGTGATAGGTCATGGAGTCATGATGCCCATCCCATATCACACCCCAAATCAAATCCTGATAGATTTTAGAACTAAATATAAAAGGTAAAAGGGAGAAATTATCAGAAAATACTTTGCCAAAAAGATTCCTTAAATACATGAAATATTAACTGTAAAGGAAAACTGCTCGTTGACATGATTAACATTGTGAGCTCCCTTACCATAAATGAAAACGCAAATCACAGGCAAAACATAAGCAAACACATCCAAAATAAAGGAAATGTATACAGAATATATAAAGAACGCCTTTAGATCACATGAATAAACCAGAACGGTCAACTGAAAACAGATAGGGTAGTTTTATGTAGGCAGTGTCCTAGCTCCATTCAGTTGCTGTGATGAATGCCACGACCAAGAGGAACTTGGGAGGAAAAAAAAAAAGCCTTTATTTGGCTTACAAGTTGCAGTCCATCCTCGAGGGAAGCCAAGGCAGGAATTCAAGCAGAGACCCTTGGAGGAACGAGGCTCACTGGCTTGCTCACCGTGGTGTGCTCAGTTTTCTTATGCAGCCCAGCCCCCCACTCCTTCCTCCCCCTCCCTGGTCCAGGGATGTCACCACCCACAGTGGTTTGAGTCCTCCCACACCAATCATTAATCAAGAAAATACTTCACAGACATGCCCACAGGCGTGTCTGATGGAAGTAATTCTTCAGCTGATGCCCCCTCTTCCCAGGTGACTCTAGATTGTTCAAATTAACAAGAACTCTCATAGAAGGGCAACTGGACGAAACCAGGAGAGCAATAAGTGGGCAAAGCCAGGAGTTCGCCAAGAACAAATCTTTAAAATGAGCCAAATGATTCTGCAGCTAAAGAAAGGCTGAAGTGAAGGTTCCACAGACAGCTTTAATAACAGACTCAAGAATTAAAAAAAAAAAATAGTAAACTTGAGGAACTTTGTGCTTTTTGAAAAAAGAAAGGAAAGATCCTATCGGTTGCTGCAGCACCATCAAGTGAACCAATGTATTGCATTGTGGGAATTCTGGCAGGAGCGGAGGAGGAGACGGTGGAAGAGAACGTCCTGAATGTGGACTGAGAAAGGAACATTTGGATCCATGGAGCCCAGGGAATGCTAACCAATTAAGTACAAACATAAGTTACCTTGCAATCAAACTTTATAAGCAGAGCCTTAGCACGTATGGGTATATGTATTACCTACACAATAAGTCCTTTTCAAACCATGCCCCCCCAGCCCCCACGCCACTGTTGAAAGAGCCACTGGTTTAGTTTTGCTTTGAAGTAGCCTTTAAAAGGTGACCTGGTTCCAGAACATTAAGTTTGTTCCAGTCGATTTTGAGGCCAAGTCAGCTGAAGGCTGTATAACACGGTATTCAAAAGCTCCGGCTTGTCTGCAAGACCATAAACAACCACTTGTAAGAACCCAGGCGTCACACTTCAGTCTCCCAAGCTTGGGCTGTGGCAGTCACGTCCTGGTCAGGTCTCCTGGACTCCGAGCGCCACTGGAGCAGAGAGACCCTTTATTTCGTTTTCTGATTACTGTTTACTGCTTAATGCAAACTGACAAAAACAAAAAACAAAAAAAAACCATGGCCAGCTGTAGACTCAAATGGGCAACTGACTGCTGCTAAGGGTCAGTGGCTGTCCCCAAAGATGGACTACCATGACCCTCTTATCTTTCTCTGTCAAGTTTAATTTTCTCTTCACACTGTGGAAACCTATTATTGATGACATGCTTCCCATTTTTATCTGGTGTGAAGACGTGTGGATTACTACACACTAATAGGAATCAGACTGTGTTTTGATGGAGTAAAAGAGAACATTTAAATTTAATTTTTGGTTTGGTAATATTCACATAAAATAAAGCTATGTAACACACACACACACCTTGTTAATTATTACCCTTGTGAGGCTAGAAAAAAGTCCACAGATGCCCAAGTCCCCAGATGCCCAAGTTCCTTATAGCAAATGGTATAATATTTACAAATACCTGTGTGCTCCAAATTCTCCATAGTTTATAGTACCTAATACAATGCAAGCGTTATGTGTATACTTGTTAAGTTGTATTGTTTAGAGAATAAGGACACATTCTCATCTATCTCATTACCTTATATTAATTATACAAAATAATGACACTGTGACATTTTCATATATGAATATAAAACAAATCATGGTCGCCTTCCTCCTTTAACCCTCTACTTCCCAACTACAGACTCTTTTTTTCTAATGACAGGGCCTCATATAGAGCAGGCTGTCTCGGAAGTCACTATATGATCCTCCTGTCTCCCAAACAGTGCTGGGATTACAGATGTGCAACCCCATGCCTGGTGTATACTAGGCTAGGAATTGAATGCAGCGCTTGCACATGCCAGACAAGAACTCCACCAGCTGAGCAAGTCCCTGACTTTCTCAGACGTGGGTTTGTTACATTTTAAAGACTTATTTCTTTTATGGGGATAGGTCTTTGTCTGCATGTATGTATGTGTATCGTGGCGGTGCCTGGTTCCCTGATAGATCAGAAGACGGCACCGGAGTTCCTGGATGTTTTTCCCATTTCCAAGCCTTACCTGCTACAAAGGCTGCTACAAAGAATACAATGGCAAGTGTACCCACACAACAAATGTCCACAACTAAAAACCACTTGTTCAAAGAGTATATGCTTTTTAAAATTGTGATAAATAATGGTAACCTGCTTTCCATAGGAATTATATCAATTTATAAAAGTTAGGCTGATTTCGCCCAACTTGATCAGAGATGTTATAACTCTGGGGTCTTCATCAACTTATCAAGTCAAATATGAACTCTAATTTGCATTTCTCTTATAAGAAACGAGGCTGCACCTAGTTAGTGTTTACTAGTCTTTTGTTTTTCTGCCTTTGTGTTTATCTTTCCTTTTGTATAGTTATTTTACTTGATGTGTATTGAGTGTTTTGTCTGCATATATATATGCACACTATGTACGTGCATACCTGGTGCCCCAGAACGTCAGAAGATGGTGTTAGATCCCCTGGAACTAGAATTGGAAGTTACCATGTGGGTGCTGGGAATCAAACCCAGGTCCTCTGCAAAAGCAACAAATGCTCTTAGCTGCTAAAAAGAACTCTCTAGATCTCAACATTTCCATTTAAAAAAAAAATCCAACTGTGGGCTCTTTTCCTATCAATTTTTACGGCGTCTTTCCATATTAGGAAGCTTAGCTTTTCATGGTGCGAGCTGTTAATGTCCTTTTCTATCGTAACTTATTAATGTTCTCTTCTATCGTAACTTATTAAAGAGGGGGTGCAGGCAAAGCTTTGCTCTTTTAGGGGCCCACATTGAAAGCTCTTGGACTAGTGAGCCAAGGAAGGGGCGGACCCTGGTCAGAAGGCTGTGACAAGAGTTTTATTGTTGCGCAACAAGTGCTTTCACTTGGCTTGTGGCAGTGGAAACAGGAGCGAAGGACCAGAGTTATTACCAAGAAATGAACTGGCTCGGGAGTCAGTGATCTGTAGCGATAGCAGCTGCAGCGGGTGTAGGAGGGATGACAGCAGGTGCCGTCCTGAGCACCCGCCCGGGGAGCTTCGTGCTCTTCCCGACCCACTCACTCAGGATGGCGGAAAAGGTGAATTTTATGAGAGTGAAATGAGCGGCCCCAACTCACATGAGAGGTGCGTGGCAGACAGAGTAAGGCTAACCCCTGGTCTGCCCAACCCCAGCTGCCTGGCAGGCGGGAGGAAAATGATCAAAGTCTTCAGTCCACGTGAGTAATGCCTAGCTTGATGACAGATGAAGAAGCCTGGGAACAGCTGCCCCTGGCCCTGGAGACACGGGCTTAGTGTTAGGAACGCTGGGTGTTTTTTCAAAGTCTGTTTCATGGTCGTTCTCCTCCATCTCTGTGGGTCCGGAGGAGCGGCGTCGCTCCCTTTTGCTGATGCAAGAGCAGAATAAGTAGCAAATTTGGCTCAGATGTCCTGCTTTGCAGAAAGCCGTCCTTTGCTCTTCCCATACAGAGAGCTTCCTTCTCATCCCTGTATTTGTTGCTGTTGCTATTCATGCATTTGTTTTTGTTATTGCTGTTTAATAGTTATTGCTCTATAAGAGTGTATGGTCTAGGTTTGGGTTGCTCTCTGTTTTGTTCTTAGGGGCCTGGCCTAGAATTCTTACCCAACACTTGTTGAATGAATAAATGAACTCCAGACATCCAGGTCCTTTGGCCTTTTATCCTTCTCCCCTATCCTAAAGCTCCCTGAAGGCTTAATAAATGGGATGCTGTGTTGGTCACAGCAGTCGTAGAATCCATATTTCTTCAGGCTGTGTGCTAGCCTGCACTTGCAGTTTTAGACAGGGGAGCCTCTAGCTGCCTCAGTCCAGCAACCATCTGAAGGGAGAGCACTCGAATGCCTTCAGGGCTGAGCAGGACGCTTGGACAGGGAGGACTCAGCCTGGAGCTGATCCTCCACTTTGTGTCTCCTCAGAGGACTTTGTTGGGTCCCGTCCCATGACATCATGTGTTGACTGGCAGCTGCAGCAGGCGCTGGGCAAACTGCACGTTAAGCTAGAATGGTCCCTGATGTTTCAGCTTTACAGAGTTCTAACCCCACCCCACCCCACCCCCAAAAAATAAGGAACAAAAGATGCAGGCAGCT